ATATATCAGTCATTAGTTATTTAACATTGTGTGTTTCTTTATATTATTTATAGTGTTATTTAATGATAATCAGCTGTTATACAGTATGGCTTGGAGTATACCAACCAAGACCAAACACCTTTTACTCAAAATTCATTTCTATTTGATATTTATAAGCATAACATGTGCACTATTATTTGACACATCCATAGAACTCAGGAATGCAAACTTTCATTTTTAATTCAAAATAGGTCAGTTGTGTGATTTGGGGGTAGGAGTGATGCTACTTGTGTGTGTGCTCTGGTTTTTATGTTTTTGCAGTGATGAGTATTGTATCCAATTACAGACATGTTGAAAGCAATGACTAATAAGTATTTACTGTAGTTTATTCAGAATGAGCTCAATATCTTGCCGCAAGTTTACTGACTGTATCTACAATGCAATCATCTCATTATAACAAAGAAAGTGTAGACACAATATAAATAAGAGTTCCCTATCAAAACAGTCTCTCACGTTGAGTTTATGACGCTTGGGACATACTCCGTTTTCATCCAAATACTGAAGCTCGATTTGGTAACGTTTGTGCAGCTGCACAAACCTATGGCATTTCAGCCCACCAAAATGGGTGGGCCGACTGCCTATTGTTATGACCTGTGGATCAAATGGAAGCAACAAAACGAGGGACACATGCAATCTGATTTAGGCTCAGAGAAGAAAGGCTTTATTAATACAAAATTAACTCTATAATAAAACTAAAACAAAACAAAAACAACAATGACATTTCTGTAAACATCAACATCATCAGTGTGTTATGCAAGGTGCCTGGCTGAATGTGTAATGTGCTGTTGTAGTGTTGTAAAATGCTCAAAACAAACACAACACAATGTCCCAAGCCCACGTCCCCATTCTGACTCTGTTAGCAATCTATTTTGACGGAGCATCTGAACCACAATGACAGATGTGCCCAATGTACTGCAGATTGGAGTGAGTCGTAGGTAAAGCCAACGATCACAAAGCTCCCAAAATCAAACAGCATGCATCGTCACACTATATAAGTTGGCGCTGAAAGCCATTTCAAATCTTTCTCCTTCACACAGGCGTTGTGTGCCACAAAAACCACAGCCCAGGCAATCGGCAAGTCAATGGCCAGTCTGGTGGTGCTTGAGCGCCACTTCTGGCTAAACTTAATGGAGATACAGGACTG